GTGAATAAACTAAACTCAGTGAATAAACTAAACTCAGTGAATAAACTAAACTCAGTGACTAAACTAAACTCAGTGAATAAACTAAACTCAGTGAATAAGGACTTTGACACCATGTAGGAATCTGTTAAATGAGCTACAGGGTTTCTTCTCAACCAAACTGCAACACATGAAATGTGCTTAGCTGTGTGTCTGTCAGATGAATGACTTCCTGAATATCTCGTCTTCTTTAGCAACCAACGACCAACACCGTTGAGGAGCCACTGGATCTGATCAGGCTCAGTCTAGATGAGAGGATCTACGTCAAGATGAGGAACGATCGGGAGCTCCGCGGCCGGCTGCATGTATGCCACACCCTTCTGGCACGGCTCACATCATCTTTTCTGACCTCTCATGTGTTTTTTCTTGCCCACATGTTTGTCTCAGGCGTATGACCAGCACCTGAACATGATCCTGGGAGATGTGGAGGAGACGGTGACGACAGTGGAGATCGATGAGGAGACGTATGAAGAACTTTATAAGGTAGGTTTTATTTCTCCTCCTTCTTGCAGCCGTGTTTCTACTCACAGAAGATGTGACTTTTGGTTGGGACCTTTTGTCAGGCAACACTTTTGAAACTTGTTTAACTTTCAGGACAATGAAGCCATTGTTCTTTAATTTGTAAAAAATAAATAAATCTGTGTGCGTCTTTTATGATTGTCCATTGGTGTCGTCACTCTTTGTTAAATCAGGTCTCTGTTGTAAATGAGTCCTCGAGGCTCAGTGGGACTAACCTGTAGAAGTAAAGGTTGAATGAATGTTCTGCATCAGCGAGAAAACTTTCCTGCTAAACTAAAGGCGTTTTAAGAGGCTGATTAAACTTATTATTTTCTCCCTTTTGGTCGTAGAAAAAGTCAAATAAAATACCAGATCATCCTATTTTGTGCGTCCTAACTAAAGTTTCTTCCTTTCCATTTGTAGCATTTTATATAGAAACAGGATTTTAATCATGTGTGAAAGAAACGTAAACTGTTTACTGTTTGTTGTTTTAGTCCACCAAGAGGAACATCCCCATGCTGTTTGTCAGAGGAGATGGTGTCGTCCTGGTCGCTCCACCTCTCAGGGTGGGCTAACCCCCACCCCATGCTGTGAAGGACAGCGTGTTGCAGCGAGTGCTGTCATGACACGGCCCCCCACCCCGACCATAGACTCTTAAGCCGCCATCATCCTCGTTATGAACATGAGCAGAACCTTTGTTTTGATGGCTGTAAGAACGAAACGTTAGTTTTGAGCGATGAAGCAGAAAATGTGTGAAGTGAGAGCAAGTTTTTATTTTTATTTTGTTTGAATAAATGATTCTGGACACAGTTGTGTTCAAATCTGTCCACAGTGGATTCCTCATTTTACTTTACAGTTCAGAAACCCTCATTTTGAAACGTGTCCGAAATGTTTGTTTGTAATTTTGTTTCTTTTATATTTCCTGTGTTTTGTGATTAAATCTCAAGTTTCACGTGGTTGAATAAAAACTGGTAAATTGTGATGCTTATCAGAGTTTGTTTTTCATAAATCTCCTCTCACCTTTAACCAGCCATACGCTTGTTTATCTTCAAACATTTCATTTTGTATTTGTACTCGTTAATATCCAAGTAGAAATCTGCTGCACTGACGCATCTCAACCACAAGATGGCAGTCAAGTACTTTAATAAATTGGTTTCTGAATCCAAACGTTAATTACATCTGTATCACAGCTGGAATAAATGACCAGCCTGTTTCTCATTGAACTGTTGATTCACGAGAGTTCAGTTGGAATTTATTTCCATTCCTGCCTCACAGGCACGTGGAGCTTCTCAGGTGTTTCAGGGTGGAGGGTGTCGAGCATCCTGGACCGGACACCAATCCTCTGCATCTCCAAACATCACCGTGAAATGATCAGAAACTTGCCTTTAACTTTATTGTTGTTCACATATTCGGCAGATGTTCATGCAAAGGTTGAACGCCTGCAGCAGAAAAATCATTTGAACAACTCGTTTCATGTTGAAATCACAACGTGCTTTAAAGAAAAGTCAAATACTGAGCTAATGTAAAACTAGAATCTAAAAAGTCCAACATGAAGTGATAAAATGTATTTACTAAGTAAACAAACTGAATATTAACATGATGAAAAGAGTTTGACCGTCTTCTTTCAAACATGTATTTCAAATAAATTCTCGGAGTTATTCTTGTTTTTCTGATCATGAGGAGCAGAGGGCTGACACCTAAGGTGCCCGGGAGCAGCTAGAGGGTTAAGAGCCTTGCTCAAGGGCCCACAGAGCAGCAAACGTGTTTCACTTTTCCCAAACAAATTTCTTGTGCCAGTCTGAGTCAAACCTGCAACAAACTTATCAAAGTAGGTTCTGCTGAGTTATTACAGATGTTTCTGCACATCTGCCAGGATCCGTCTCTCTGAACCTTCAGCTTTTATTTCACGACCGATTCCCAGCCTGTACCAAGTTAAAAGGTCAAATGAGGACTCGTGCAGGAAACATGCAAACTGGTGAGATGATGCACCTTCCAGCTCCCTGACATCTAAGAATCATTAACTTTGAATACATTTAAAAACGTGTCTGAAGCCACCGGTTGCAGAACCTGACTCAAACTGAATGCATTCAGTTCATCGGGGGGGGGGGGGGGGGTTACATCTACATTCAGAAGTGATTCAATCTCTGTTCCACAGACAGAACGTTCAGTTAGAATTTCCACGGACACAGAAGATACGACGCAGCAGAACTGTCAGACGGAGCGGACGTGGAGCTGAACTTCTCCATCAGCTGCCTAATAAGGATTCAGAAGTATAAAGTTTGATTCATGGCGGCACAGTGGGAGCAGGATGTGCTGTTTCATGGCTCCTGCCTGTTACTGAACTGCCATGTTGCATTTGGACAAACGGATACATTTGGGTCATGTGTGCACACTGTGCAGTGCTGCGTTGCTCTGCTGCCTGCAGAGAAACGTGCTGTCCTCTAGTCTTCTGAATCCGCTGTCATCACCATGTTCCAGGAAAAATGGATAAAACGCAACGATTCTTGTGTTTCACAAAGATTAAACTTCACTTTTAATCTTATATTCCAGCGGGCCTCATGTCCAGGGGGTAGTTGATGATGTCGCAGCACCTGGTGGACAAGACTGTCCTCTAATGTCGTCCCTCGGGTCTTTGAAATGTTCTGGGAATGACTCCTGCATGACTTCATGCTTCACAAGTTTTCACACTTGTGTCAGAGACTTTTGGAGCTTTAACAAGTGGAGCTCTGATGTGATGAAGCTCAGCCATCACACTCAGCTGGACGATGGCTGAGAAGGATATTTTAATCTGTTCCCGTCAGCTCTGCCACCTAAACTCACTCGGTTGAGTCATTTACAGATGATGACCAGAGGTGAGGGGAGGAACGTAGACCGACCAGTAAACAGAGAGCTTTGTCTTACAGCTCAGCTCCCTCTTCACCACAATGGACCGGCACAGAGTCCACAATACTGCAGATGTTGCACCAATCCATCTGTCGGTCTCACGCTCCATTCTTCCCTCACTGTGAACAAAATCCAGAGATACTTGAACTCCTCCACTTGAGGCAGAACCTCACCCTCGACCTGAAGAGAACAATCCACTCTTTTCTGACTGAGGACCATGGTCTCAGATCTGGAGGTGCTGGTTCTCATCCCAGATGCTTCACACTCGGCTGAGAACCGCTCCAGTGAGGAAGATCAGGGCACGATGAGCCAACAGGACCACATCATCTGCAAAGAGTAGAGATGAATCCTGAGGCCATGAACTGGACTCCCTCCACCCCCTGGCTGCACCGAGAAATTCTGTCCATGAAAGTTCTGAACAGATTTGGTGACAATGGACACTTTACTTTACTTTACTTTACTTTACTTTACTTTACTTTACTTCTACAATAAATTTCAATTCTGGAAAAAAAAGGGATGTTGCATAAAATGTAAATAAAAAAACAAAGTGCAATGATTTTCAAATCCACATCTGAACATAGAAAACATAAAATGTTGAAACTAAAACTCTATATTTGCCACAGGAGGAGAGACCAACGGATTTGTTGCACAGTTCAAAGCCTGCCTCACTCATGGTATGCGGGTGCATTAATGCCTCTTGCAAGGGCAGTTTACACAGTCTGGAAAAGCTCAATCAATG